TATTTTCAAGTCAGGAAACACAATGTGTGGGAGCCTTAAATAATTAAAAATTTCTCCTGAGACTTGGTTGGCAGAATGCTCTGTCTAATATTGCATAGTGTGGGAAATTGTACACTGCAATGTAACAGTTGACACAGCGTGGGAAAGCCTTTATAAGCTATGTGAGGTCAGTCTAAGGCAAGCCCTCCATCTGCAGTGAAGATGGATTCATTTTATTGTGTCACTTTCACTTTTTTTTACAGTAATTTTGTTTATGTGAAGTGGGTTTGTTTATATTTTCATTATTTGCGTCAACATTTATGGATTTTAATTTGGTCTTTTTGAAGGCTGGATAAAAGAAGAGTTAAAGAAAGAATACATTTGATTGGAAAAATTATGTACTTTATTAGTATTATATCGGTTGTATTACCTCTCTCAATATTATAAGTGTGAGAAGGGTAGGTAGGGATATTTAGTTTTGGGGGGTTGACTAGGGCATGTCCACCCCCATTGTTTAATTATTTAGTTTATTATTAGGGCACCTACATACCATCAATGGGTGTGTACCGGTGGGGAAAACTATGTTCCCCCTTTATATTGTTATATCCCCACTGACTGACTACGGGTGAGGGCAAGTGGGGACATTAGGATTTTTTCACGTGTATGTGCAAAGTCACTGTGTGTATTTTGGTATTCCCATGTGTGTGTGCAATACCAGTATGCATGCATGATGGTATTCCTGTGTGTGTGTGTGTAATTACAGTACTTGTGTATGTTAGTGTCCTTGTGTGTGTCTGTGGTTCCTTGTCTTTCTACATCTATTTTAACCATCTTCTCCCCAAATGTCTATCAATATTTCCTCCCCGATTTGCCTTTTTGCTCCACCTTCCTGCTTGTCTCCCTATCTTACATAGTTACATAGCTGAAAAGAGACATGCGTCCATCAAGTTCAGCCTTTGTTTTTTGCTGTTGATCCAAAAGAAGGCAAAAAACCCAGTTTCAAGCACTTCCAATTTTGCAATAAGCTAGGAACAAAAATTCCATCTTGACCCCAGAATGGCAGTCAGATTTATCCTTGGATCAAGCAGTGGTTACCCTACATTGAAAGATTATATCCTTGAATATTCTGTTTTTGCAAGTATGCATCTAGTAGCTGTTTGAACATCTATGGACTCTGATAAAACCACTTCTTCAGGCAGAGAATTCCACATCCTTATTGTTCTTACAGTAAAAAAACCTTTAATTTGCCTTAGACAAAATCTTTCTTCCAGTCTAAACGCATGACCTCGTGCCCTATGTAAAGTCCGGTTTGTGAAAATATTTCCACACAATGGTTTGTATTAGCCCCGAATATTTTTGTATAATGTTATCATATCCTCTCTCAGGCAACGTTTTTCTAAATTAAATGGGTTTAAATTTGTTAACCTTTCTTCATAGCTGATATGTTCCATTTCTTTTATTAATTTTGTAGCCCGCCTCTGCAGTTTTTCTAGTGCCATAATATCCTTCTTTAGAACCGGTGCCCAAAATTGCACAGCATATTCAATATGTGGTCTTACCAGTCATTTATAAAGATGAAAAATGATATTCTCGTCCCGAGAATGAATGCCCTTTTTAATTGATGACAATACCTTACTGGCCTTGGCCACTGCTGATTGACATTGCACATTGTTGCATAGTTTGTTGTCTATAACAATTCCCAAGTCCTTTTCGTGTGTTGTTATCCCTAATTCGCTTCCATTAAGGGTATACGTTGCTTGTGTATTCTTTACGCCGAAGTGCATAACTTTGCATTTTTCAACATTAAATGACATCAGCCATTTGAGTGCCCAGTCCCCCAGTATATCTAAATCCCTCTGCAGTAAAGTAATCTTCTCACCCAACCACACATCCTTCCCTTCAGTTGTGCATCTCGTCTATTCTTTCGCCACATCCCCTATTGTTTCACAGTGTTTATTTAGTCTCCTTTCAAATCTTTTTGTACTTTCTTTGAAATGGCAGGGAGGCCCAGCAGAATTGTGTATTTGCTATGGCTGTGACGTCAATGTAGTTTTTTGGCAAGGCGTGGCACCACCCAGTCAATCCTTGTTATGCACAGAGCTGCAGGGATACAGAAAGACATTATATTCCAGTAGCTAAGACTCTGTGCATGAAGGAGAGAGAAGGGGTCAGTCTGCAGACCCAATGCTGCCCAGGAAGGCATCCAGGCAGCTGCTAGTATTGGGAATATGTAATGGGACTGTATAGTGTAGGTGCATTAGAGAATGTGTGTAGTGAGTGTGCTTAGATCAGTGTCTATCAGTGTTTGTGTGTGAATGTTTGTGTACAGTGTACAGGGTGTTTATGCGTAAGTGAGTATTGAATGCTGGTGTTACCCTGATGTCACACTCTGGCTCTATATCACATTCAATGAGGAGGGCACTAATAGAATTTAAGAATAAACAAAATAACTGATCAAGTTTATTCAGAAGTGCAACAGCATTCAGTTAATGTTTGAGTCCTATTACCAGACTTTTTAGAAGACTTTAATTTAATGGGGCTGAAAGGTTGAATGTATTCTGTTCCACTTCTACTTAAAATAAGTTTTGCTTATTTTAAAGTCTTATGAGTGCATATTTAACTATGCATCAGAACAGTATCTGTAAAATAAGAACAAATATATAGTGCAGAGCATCTGATATATCTATGAAAGATTTCACACATAAACATATATGTGGAAGAAACTCACATTTCCCAGAGCCTCCACCTCTACCACCAGCTTTCTGGGCTATGTGATCACCAGGTTAACAAGGCCATTGATATGTGGGCCAAAGATGTCCTGTCCCCTGGCCTGAATATGCATTGTGTTATATGGTCACAATTCCTTTGTGTCCCTCTTTAAGAACATATCCATGGTTCCTTGGCTTTAACAATTAATATAATGTAATACCCAGTCACCAATATCCCCAAGCCCCTATCCTGCACAACCTCAGAAATCTACTAAGCAACAGGGTGTTAAACGAGCTCAGTGATAATGCTCTTGTGTCTTATGGACATTTTTTTTCTATTGGTGGCAACTTCCCACAATTGCAATATTTTCTACCACCATAACTCTAACCCAACACTTAGTCTAGAAAAAAAAGAGGCAGGAATTGTAAAGTTATGCACAAAGGTGGGACAACTACCAGTGCTACTAAATCGTATGAGTATTTCCCTGTTTTCTAAGTTTAACTAATTTTAAAGCCCACTGGTAAACCTAGCTTGTTGTTCAAAACTGCAAATTATAAACCTGTACACGTAAGACTATACAAACTTCATTTCCTTTATCATAAACTCTGATGTCTTGGATATTGTGCTTTTCTGATTATAGTTGAAAATGTATTAAAAACTCATTGTAGCAGAGATTCCAATCTCTCCAAATTATATAATTTCACTTACAAAAGAAAATGGTGTAAGTCAAATAAAAGCTATTAAACATAGATAATATTCTTATTTGTATGTTGCCTGTCGATATAAAGACATATTTTTGATTATTGTTTAAAATACTTTTAGAAGAATCATCTAATGCATCAAATCTAATCTACAATGATTTCTTCAGCTAGTGTCAGGTTGACCAATTTTCAATGTATTTTAAGAAATGCATGCTAACAGAAATAATCACTTATTATGTGTAGATATTAAAATACAATGTCTATGAGACATCATGAACCAGGCTGAAATTAAATGAAATATATCCTCAAAGGAAAGTAGGAACATTTTGGAAAACATAAAACACAGTGTTATGCTTACCCAGTGCTATTGTATGCAGGCTTCTTATACCCAATGCCAGTTTTTTTCTGCACATAAGCAGACACTCCACCTTTAAAGGGACACTGTAGGCACTCAGACCACTTCAGTTAATTTAATTGGTTTGGGAGCTGTGTCTCTTTTGCTCTTAGTGCTACAATGTAAAAAAATGCAGTTCCAGAAAACTGCAATATTTACATTGGAGCTCTAAGTCTGCTCTCAGTGGCTGTCTGCCAGACAACCACTAGAGGGCTTCCTGATTTGAAACAGACCTTTGGTCCGTTATCTGATGCTGGCCATCCTCACGCTCTGCATGAGGACCTCCAGCGTCGGATTTTCCCCCATAAGAAAGCATTGAATAATGCATTCCTATGGGGAAATCCTAATGCGAGCACATTAGGTCTCCCCACCGCGACGTCGGCAGGGGAGGAGCATGGGCTGAATTCAGGTAAATGACTGAAGAAGTTTTAACCCCTTCAGCTCCGTGGCAGGGGGGATGTGAGAGAGTGGGGCACTGTAGGGACCTATCATACCAGGAAAACGGCTTTGCTTTCCTGGCACTATAGGATCCATTCAAGGGTCCTGGACAAGACAACAATTTGATTCAGAGACAAAGTGTTGCTGCCTTATGCTGGTGGGGCCATGATATACCTTAATTGATGATATTTATGTTATATTTGTGTTACTCATGTTGTACATTATATTGAGTTGATGGTCCCACTCAAAACTACACAAACATACAGAGTTATTCACTAAACAGTGGACTTTGTCTGAATGGACACAATCATATGAAAATGACCAAATTCTGACAGCAATGACAATTTTCAATTTGCAAACTGACCTCGGCATCTGGGGTTCCTTTTTGCGTGATTTTAACGGGCGGGATTTCTTTCGGGCTTTGGGGTGTCTTCGGAGGAGCTTGAATAATTCATGGATGCCTCAGGGTTGTCTTGCTTTTGAAGTGTATTTCATGGGTCGATGGTGTGCAGAACAGTGGCAGGTGGCTTGGAAGGACAGCTCCCTTATAAGGAACTTGGCTTTTCTTGAACTGTTCCCATTGGTGGTTTCTTTGGCACTTTGAGGTATTATGGAACAGGAAGGTGATCTTCTTAGTGGACAACATGACAGTTGTGCACGGAGGACTTGTGAGAAGTTCATTGGCTCCCGGCACGTGGGCGGCGTACAATAAGGTCTGGAATGCATGGGATGCCACAGTTGGAGTGCGATGGTTGGGATGTCAGTGGAAGGTAGGCCGTGACCAGTTAGCTCAGTTGGTTAGAGTGTGGTGCTAATAATGCCAGGGCCGTGGGTTTGATCCCCACAGGGGCCAGTTGCTTTTCTCTCCAGCGATCGTTTATGTACTTGGACCCATTCTCTTTAATATATTTATTAGTGATATTGCAGAAGGTCTTGATGGTAAGGTATGTCTTTTTGCTGATGATACTAAGATATGTAACAGGGTTGATGTTCCAGGAGGGATAAGCCAAATGGCAAATGATTTAGGTAAACTAGAAAAATGGTCAGAATTGTGTTAATTGACATTTAATGTGAATAAGTGCAAGATAATGCATCTTGGACGTAAAAACCCAATGGCAGAGTAAAGAATATTTGGTAGAGTTCTAACCTCAACATATGAGGAAAGGGATTTAGGGGTGATTATTTCTGATGACTTAAAGGTAGGCAGACAATGTAGCAGCAGGAAATGCTAGCAGAATGCTTGGTTGTATAGGGAGAGGTATTAGCAGTAGAAAGAGGGAAGTGCTCATGCCATTGTACAGAACACTGGTGAGACCTCACTTGGAGTATTGTACACAGTACTGGAGACCGTATCTTCAGAAGGATATTGATACCTTAGAGAAGGTTCAGAGAAGGGCCACTAAACTGGTTCATGGATTGCGGGATAAAACTTACCAGAAAGGTTAAAGGATTCTAACATGTATAGCTTGGAGGAAAGACGGTATTGTATATAGGAAACATTTAAATACATAAAAGGAATCAACACAGTAAAGGAGGAGACTATATTTAAAAGAAGAAAAACTACCACAACAAGAGGACATAGTCTTAAATTAGAGGGACAAAGGTTTAAAAATAATATCAGGAAGTATTACTTTACTGAGAGGGTAGTGGATGCATGGAATAGCCTTCCAGCTGAAGTGGTAGAGGTTAACACAGTAAAGGAGTTTAAGCATGCGGCGTGGGATAGGCATAAGGCTATCCTAACTATAAGATAAGGCCAGGGAATAATGAAAGTATTTAGAAAATTGGGCAGACTAGATGGGCCGAATGGTTCTTATCTGCCGTCACATTCTATGTTTCTATGTTATGGCTCTTGTGTGGCTTGTTTGCTCGGCTGGCATCTCTGGCGGTTGTCGACCGAAACATGTCGGTGTTGGCTTTTCTTTTCAAGTTGAACGGTTGGAAGGACCACGCTAAACATTTTCTTGTTAGGCAGGCACTCAAGGTTTTTTTGGAAAGGTAAGAAGTTGGTCGATTCGAAGAGGCTGGTATCATTTGTGGTCCTGCAGAGATTAGTAGGGGCTCTCCAGGGGGGGTGTTTGTCTCAGTATGAAGTGGTTTTTTTTCAGTGGCTTTTTGTATGGGTGTTTTTGGGGGCTTTTAGGATTGCTGAAATGGTGAGTAGTAACCTGGTTAAGGCAGCCAGGATTCAAAGTTCAGATGTGGAATTGGGGACTGACAAAGTTACAATTCGGTTGAGTTGTTCTAAGACTGATGTGTTCGGGAAGGGGTGCTCAGTTTTGCTTTTCTCTTTGCCCAGGTCCAGTCCTGTTACCTGTATGGCTGGAGTGGTTCTGGATGTGCTATTGAGTTATTGATTTATGTGGTAATGATCTCGGGCTGGTCCCTCAGCAGGACTTGGTTAGATGGATGGAGAGGGATATAAATCGGCTACAGGAGCTGGTTGCAGGTGTGGTGTTAGAGTGGTCCGAAATGGTTCCACGTTTTCACTAGAGGCATGCTAGTGACCCTGCTCAGGAGCTTCAGTCAGGCTTGTCCTGAGCTGTGGAGGGAAATGGCCAGGTTAAATGGGGGGGGGGGTGCATGAAGTAGGAAGAGGGCCTAGCTAGGTTAGGGTGGTTTACGCGTAATGTCACACTTGGTTGGTAGATTCGAGCTCTTCAGTGTCTCGGAACCTGAGGGTGTGGGGTGTCTTGGTACACCCCTACCGTTAACCAATTTGAATTTGGGCCATTGGGGCGGCCAGATTATGTATTATATGTTATTTAGATTGTTATATATTCTTATCTGCATTGAGCCATTGATTGGGGATTTGATACAGTTCCACACAATAGATTAGTGTTCAAACTCAAGGAAATTGGTGTAGATGAAAATGCTTGTTCTTGGGTAGAACATTGGCTTAAAAACACAGTACAAATAGTTGTCATTAATGGTAAATTACCAAGCTGGACAGAGGTGGCAATTGGTGTCCCTCAGGGGTCTGTTCTGGAACAACTTCTATTTAACATGTTTATAAATGATCTTGAAGACAGCATTGAAAGTCATGTTTTAGTGTTTGCAGATGACACAAAACTCTATAAAATAATACAATGTGAGCAAGATATTACTTTGCTGCAGAGGGATTTAGATAGACTGGGGGACTGGGCACTCAAATGGCAGATGAAATGTAATGTTGAAAAATGCAAAGTTATGCACTTTGGCGTAAAGAATACACAAGCAACGTATACCCTTAATGGAAGCGAATTAGGGATAACAACTGACGAAAAGGACTTGGGAATTGTTATAGACAACAAACTATGCAGCAATGTGCAATGTCAATCAGCAGTGGCCAAGGCCAGTAAGGTATTGTCATGCATAAAAAAGGGCATTCATTCTCGGGACAAGAATATCATTTTTCCTCTTTATAAATCACTGGTAAGACCACATATTGAATATGCTGTGCAATTTTGGGCACCTGTTCTAAAGAAGGATATTACGGCACTAGAAAAAGTGCAGAGGCGGGCTACAAAATTAATAAAAAGTAATGGAACATATTAGTTATGAAGAAAGGTTAACAAATTTAAACCTATTTAGTTTAGAAAAACATCGCCTGAGAGGGGACATGATAACATTATACAAATATATTCAGGGCCAATACAAACCATTGTGTGGAAATCTATTCACAAACCGGACTTTACATAGGACACAAGGTCATGTGTTTAGACTGGAAGAAAGAAAATTTCGTCTAAGGCAAAAGAAAGGTTTTTTTTACTGTAAGAACAATAAGGATGTAGAATTCTCTGCCTGAAGAAGTGGTTTTACCAGAGTCCATACAGATGTTCAAACAGCTACTAGATGCATACTTGCAAAAACTGAATATTCAAGGATATAATCTTTCAATGTAGGGTAACCACTGCTTGATCCAAGGATAAATCTGACTGCCATTCTGGGGTCAAGAAGGATTTTTTTTCCCAGCTTGTTGCAAAATTGGAAGTGCTTCAAAGTGTTTTTTTTTTTTTGCCTTCTTTTGGATCAACAGCAAAAAACATATGTGAGGAAGGCTGAACTTGATGGACGCAAGTCTCTTTTCAGCTATGTAACTATGTAATGTATATGGGGATTGTAGTTTAAATGTTTTGTTGTTTGTTCAGCAATGAACTTATTTGATTTATTTATATATATGATTAATAAAGCTGTGGACAAATAATTTCCAACAGTATAAACTTGTGTCTGTGTCTTAATGGGTTCTGGGTATACGGTTTAGCCACTATGCCGGTTTACCGATTGTGCACATGTCAGGTCTTTTCCCAAATCCCCTATGCCAGATATTCCCTGCATGGTTTCTGTGGTGGTTCTAGTGTTTCTCTGTTCTGCTGGTAGTGTTAAATGCTGAAACTATCAATAATGTGTTTTTGTTTTTGCTTCTGTCTTGCTGAAGATGGCACTTGATCTTCTTGCTGACCTGTTGCTAAGTAATTGAAATTAATGTTCTGCCACACACAAACATTATATATTGTATTATTACATTGTAGCCACATATAATCAAACAACCGTGGCAATAAATCTGAATTAATCTATATATGATGTATTAAATTGCATTCAGGTATGTGTGTTTTTCTGGAAAAATGTCAAACAACAAGTAATAAGCAAACAATTTTGACATCTAGGGGCACTTGTTCAATGCCCTTTTTTGTAGTGTTCCAATGAACACATCATTCTGCTATAAGATAATTGCAATACTGTCCAAACACTCATTAAACACGCACTCTTATTATCTTAAAATAACAATTCAGTCATTCTTTTACTAGCAAACACACATTATACATTCTGTTTATTTAAATGTCATTTATCATCTCTGTCTATTGATCATCTGTCTGTTTGTCTGTTACGTTACCTGACCATTAATATGGTGGGCGCTCTTGGAGAAGAATGTAATGGAGAAATGGAGAAAATAAATGGAAAGGTTTTGAATGAATGAGGCTGTTAGAGGCATTATAAGAAAGAATGTACTGTGCAAAAGTCAGAATTGTATTATCTGTCTGAAAGTGGGCAGGTGTGGATCCAGGGGGGGAGCTTCAAGGTTAGTGCTCCCCTCAAGACACAAGACAGGTACCCATATAGGATAGCGTATGTTAATTTATTTCCCCTTGCTCTAGAAGGTAGGTGTAGAGAATGTATGCAGTCATGGTTTTCAGTTGCTCTGCTGTCAGTAAAGAGTACAGTCTCAGGTAGCTTTTCTTGCACACAGTACATGTCCCAATGGCTTGCACTGAAGTCAAATGTGTTCATATGAAGAACATTATGAGTCACAGGGAGCTCTCCTTGCAACTTATCAAAGCACTGCTAGCTTCACATGCGAGTAGGATGAAGCCCACTGAAAAGGAAGCAGAAGAGGGCCCAGGCACTGCCTGACAAGAAGACATCTATTCCTAACTCCCAGCTCTGGGATCACGAGAATCAGGACATCGGTGAGAGGGAAGTAAAGGGGTAGATGCAGGAAAGGAGGTAGGTATGTCCAAATTGCAGGTGGGTCAGAATGCCGTGATTGTATACCAGCTTGCCTGTCAATCCCTCAGGCCAGCTCATTCACAGATCAGATCCTGCAGGAAGTACTGTTTCAGTGCACTCTGCAGGGTTCTAGAGCAATGAACTCAAGCTATGCATGTTGGTGATAATTCCCTGTGACCTCAAAAGCAGGAAACTGGGGAGAGTGGGGTGGGGAGGGGGGGAAAAAGATGGGATGGCGAGACAGGATCCAGAAATCAGGTCTGTCCCACTGAAATTGGGACAGTTGGGAGGCTTGCACTCTTTCCAAACTGAAGGCTGAT